ACCAAGCCTTTCAATTTGAAGTTCACCACAAACCCTTCTTTTATCAATCTGTAGTCTTGGAGTCCTTCTGACTGCTTCCATGGAGATAGCTCTTTTCATTCTTCTTAGGTGAAGATGACCAAGCTTATGGTGCCACAGTTTCATCTCTTTTTCTTCTTTGGTAATTAGACACATAGTGGAGTTATTAGTGTTCTCAGGCTGCCACAGGTAACAGTTATCTTTGGATCTGATTCCTTTCATTACAACTTCTAGTTTTTCATTAATTACTAGACATTCAGATTTTGAGAAGTTGACCTTGAATCCTAGATCACATAATTGACTGATACTAATGAGATTAGCAGTCAGCCCTTTTACCAGCAGGACTTCACTCAGACTTGGAACTTCAGGGCAGTCCAAATTACCAACTCCTTTGATTTCACCTTTAGCACCATCTCCAAAGGTCACATAACTAGTGTTGGGAGGTTTAACATGATTGAGAATGTTCTTTATTCCAGTCATGTGTTTAGAACACCCACTGTCAAAGTACCAGCCTTCCTTTACAGACACTCTCAGGGAAGTATGGGCTATCAGGGCAGTAGCCTTTTTCTTCCATTGAGGAGTATGTGGTACCTTTTTAGACTTAGGTTTGACACCTGAGTTTTGATTGGGGTATCCATGCAATCTGAAGCAGAAGGGCTTTATGTGGCCATATCTCCCACAATGATGACATCTCCATCTTTGGTACTTTTTCTTCATATATCTCTGTTTCTGATGTTGAGAGTTGTATTGAGACATCTGCTTTGACATTTGTTTAACAGGCCTGATCTTCTTGTCTGTACTAGATTTCTTGGCTTCCACAAATCCTAGTCCAGATTTGTTTCCCACATTTTGTCCAACTTGAAGAATCTCTTCCAATTTATCTGTTCCATTAGTCAGCATCTTGACAGATTTGGTCATTTGGTTCAGTTGTGAGTTCAGCAATTGAACTTCCCCTTCTAGATGACTTATAGTTTCAAGATCTGCCCTTTTTTCAGCCTCCAGCTTTATGATGAGTTTTTCTTGTTTCTCATTCTGCACACAGACTTCAGCACTTCTGATACACAATTTCTTGTAGGTATCAGCCAGTTCTTCAAATGTCACTTCTTCATCACTAGTGTCACTTTCAGAGGTACAAACACTAGTTAGAGTAGTAACTAGTTTGGCAGATTCTTCTTCAGAATTACTTTCTGAATCACAGTCAGACCAAGTAACAGTCATTCCTTTCTTTTGTTTCTTAAGAAAGGTAGGACATTCAGCTCGAATATGCCCATATCCTTCACAGCCATGGCATTGAATACCTCTGCCTTGATTTCCCTTCTCTTCTGACCTTGGTCTTCTGCTGGAACTGTCAATGTCAGAGGGAATGTTATGAACATTAGACCTTGACTTTGGATCTATTCTTTTGATGAGTTTGTTGAACTGTCTTCCAAGCATGGCTACAGCTTATGAAATATTTTCTTCTTCATCCTCCTTGTTTTCAACATCAGTGTTGGATACAAGTGCTATGCTCTTGTTCTTCTTGTCACCATTTTCAGTGATCCCCATCTCAAAAGTCTGAAGAGACCCAATTAGTTCATCCACTTTCAACTTGCTGATGTCCTGGGCTTCCTCTATGGCAGTTACCTTCATTGCAAATCTTTTAGGCAAGGATCTGAGAATCTTTCTCACCAATTTTTCTTCTGCCATTTTTTCTCCCAGTGCTCCTGAGGTGTTGGCAATCTCCAAGATGTTCATGTGAAAGTCATGAATGGTTTCATCTTCCATCATTTTTAGATTCTCAAACTTGGTAGTCAACATCTGAAGCCTTGACATTTTTACTTTGGAAGTGCCCTCATGGGTAGTTTTGAGAGTGTCCCAAACTTCCTTGGCCAGTTCATATTGATGTACTAGTCTGAAAATGTTTCTATCAATTCCATTGAACAAGGCATTTAAGGCTTTGGAATTTCCCAGGGCTAACTCATCTTCTTCTTTACTCCAATCTTCCTCAAGCTTCAAACTGATTGTCCCATCTTTCTCAGTTATGGTGGGATGGATCCATCCTTTGTCAGCAGCTCTCCAAGCCTTTTTGTCCAGAGATTTTAAGAAGGCAATCATACGAGGTTTCCAGTAGTCATAATTTGTTCCATCCAGAATGGATGGTCTATTTCCAAAAACTCCTTCTTTGTCCATAGTGCCAGAAAGTGATATCCCTAGATCTCACCCAGTAATACAGGCAGGGTGCCTGCTTTGATACCAATTGAAATTCTGGCTGCAGATACTCAATGTCACGTTCAATGTTATGACACCGTATCTGACTTTCTATAAGACAGTAAATACAAAAACAGTAAAGAACACAGTCAATTGTTTACCCAGTTCAGTGTGCAACAACACCTACTCTGGGGGCTACCAAGCCAGGGAGGAAATCCACTATAAGAGATATTAATTCAGGAATAAACCAACCAGTTTATCTCCTTCACTTAAGACCTACCCAATGCAACTTCAATCTAAGTACAACTTAAACCTGAGTTCCTACTCACTCCCCCTCAATCACAGCAGTGATACATAAAACAATTTGACTAATGAATTGTTGAAGACACTCTTCAAAACATACACTTGATTATGCTTCACAGCTTTTTAATCAAGCAACACAAACACTCTTGCTTCACAACTTTGAGTGATACACAAACCTAACTTGACTTTGCTTCACAGCTTTAGTCAAGAGACATACAAACACTCTTGCTTCAAAGCTTTGAGTGTTACACAACCCTTACAATTAAAACCTATTACAAGTCACTTATCACAATGATAATTGCTTGGATTACAATAGTAAAAACTATACAACTTCTAAATGATCTTCTGTCAAAAAAGGGATGCATTCCAAGACAGCAGCTCTGTTGAATATATAGCAGCTGCATCTTCAGTTAGGGTTTCCACAAAAAGCTAGGGTTAATTCCGTTTGACCTTAAGACTAGGTCACAAGACTTTATCAACCAGGTTGGGGTTGAGCTAGGTTAACCCAAAGAAAACGCAGGATTCTGTTCTGGAAAGACTGAGTCATTTTCCTGAAAAAACTCAGAATTAACCAAACTGCATACCTGTTAGTTCAGAACAGGATGTCTTAACATCTGTTATGACATCTGAAAACCTGTCTACTGATTTAGGTAAATGTGATCATTTTGCAAAATGCTCAGATACACACTCATAAACATCAACACCTGTATGACAATATTTTTCTGCAAAGGTACCTAATAAATATCTACCTAATAAACTAGAATGTTATGAAATCAGTCATGAAATTCATACACCTGGTTTTACCAAAAATGCATGCCAATACCTAAACAACTACAGGTCTCAATTCGGGAGGAAGCACTGGTAAGAGACATAATACCATCCATTCTGGTTCTATATTTGTTCGGATAAAATTCTTAGCTAATTCCATTCGTCGAACCAAAAAAATTCTTTCTTCTTCTTCTTCTTCTTCTTCTTCTAACTTTTCAATCTTCCCATTCATTTTCATTGTCAGTGGACCCCTTTTCTCCTAGTTCTGTCCATTCTAGCAATGAAGAATCCATAATCATTCCTAAATCCAGGTTAACTAATTGTTCTCGTATAGCACCAGCTCCGCTAGAAATTTCTCTATTTTGAAATGTATCGAAACCTTGAGTAGTAAAAAAGAGTGAGAGACTGTATTTCCAGGATTGGATTTCATATTCGAATGAACCTTGTAATCGTAAGAAAGTTGGTTTTCTTAACTACGAGCCTAGCAAATGAAAATTTTGGATAGGATCCAATAATATGGATCTCCCCCTTTGAAAATTGGACATGAGGGTTTCCTCTCATCAGACTAAAATATTTACACACAATTAAAGATAAAGAAAGGAGTTTCCGCTTTCAAATTTTTGAAAACCTCTAATCTAAAATATAAAATAAAAAAGGTTTACTCTTGACTCAAGTTATCAATAAATACCAAGCACCATTTCATTGACACATTCTTCATTTTTTCTGACTTTTTTATGCAATTCAAAATTCTGACAGAAATAAAATTAAAATTCTCGAGTAGTCTACCTCCCTTCGAACGAGGAATCCTCTAAAATAAAATTATTAATAAAAAAGGAATATGTTCGACTTCATAATAGATTTATTTGTCTCTGTATCATACCGTTTGATCTTTTAGGTCAAGACGTCACCTCGACGGGTATGCCACGATGTCTTAAAGCCTATATGCGATAGATAAACTTCTACAATCATGATATATTTTATTCTTTGAACATAATTTTAGTTCTTTTAAAATATAGAATAAAAAAATAGATGGAATAATGAATTCCACAAAAACGTATTTTGTTCACAAGGTACATACAATATAAAGAGTTTTTTTACTGAATTAACCATAGACAAACTCCCTTATTGATTTGGGAGTATTCAATAAACCCATGAATTCCGAGCTACATGTTAGATATTCCAGATACAGTACATTCCAATTTAGTTGAATGGAATGATAGTTTCTCATTCTAAATATGTACAATAAGAATTTTTATCAAATCACACATCACAGTATACTAGACCCTATAATTCTTTAAGAGGTTTATCTAAAAGGCTCGCGATATAACTAGGAAGACAATTCAAATACCACACATGGGTTACTAAACATGCTAATTTTATATACCCCATTTGATATCAACGTATTTGAGAATCAACAAATTCTACTATGCATTGTTCACAAAATTTAGGTTGCTCTTTTTTATCTCCGATTACTCTATAATTTCCACAAGCACAAATCCCACATTTTATAGGCCCAAAAATTCTTTCACAAAATAATCCATCTTTTTCAGGCTTATTGGTTTTATAATGAAGATAATAGGGTTTAGTTACCTCCCCAAGTGTTTCTCCATTAGGTAGGATCTTTTTTGCCTAAGAACTTATTTGTTCAGAGGAAACTGATCCAATTCGAAGGTGTTGATGTTTATACTAATCAATCATAAAATGAAATTTCTGATTCAGTCCAATTAAAATTCCTTCCTTTGAATGTGAAAGTCTTTCTCAGATACAAGGAAATTATTCACATCCAGAGCCAAAGATTGTAGTTTACGAATGAGCAATCGAAAAGATTCTGGAGCATCCAAAGGTTTCAATATTGTTCCTCCCATAATTGTAGTTCCAAGTAATTCTTGAAGTGCTTTATTATGATCAGATTTATAAGTAAGCGTCTCTTGTAAAATATGACAAACACTGAATCCCTCGATAGCCCAAAATTCCATTTCGCCTACCCATTGTCCTCCTTGTTTGGCCCTTCCTTTAAGGGGTTATTGTGTAACAAGTTCATAAGGTCCACTGGAACGTCCATGTATTTTATCACCAACTTGATGAATTGATTTTAAGATATAAGGCTTTCCTATTATAACGGGTTGTTCAAAAGGATTCCCTATTCTTCCATCAAATATTCTGATCTTTCTCGAATACTCCACTCGGGTTCAAATATTCCTGGATTTAATGTTTCTTTACTGGCCTTATATAATTCAGAAAACATAAGTTTTATGGAAGCCTCTTGTTCACATATCTCATTAAAAGATTCTATTTGATAATGTCTATTTAGCATACTCCCAGCTAATCCGAGCGAACATTCTAATATATGTCCTACATTCATTAGATAAGGGACCCCTAATGGATTGAAGACCATATCAACGAGTCTTCCATCTTGCAAATAACGCATATCCTGTCAAGACAAAATATTTGAAACGATACCTTTATTTCCATGTCCCCCAACAACTTTATCACCTACTTTGATTTCACGTTTCTGTGAAATATATATATATATATATATATATATATATATATATATATATATATATATATATATATATATATATATATATATATATATATATATATATATATATATATATATATATATATATATATGAATTATTTCTAGATTATAGTTGAACCCGCTTTTTTGTGGAGCCATATCACATAAATAACTCGCCCCTACCACCTATAGGTAGTTTTAGACAATTTTCCTTTGAGGTGGATACTTGAATCCCAAGTATAGCTCGTAATAATCTATCTTCTGGAGAATATGATGATTCTTTTTCCATTTGAGGCGTTAATTTACCCACTAAAATATCGCACATTTCTACCCGAGATCCCATAATTACAATTCCATTATTGTCTAAATTTCAGAGTAAATAGGCTTCTAGATGTGGAATTTTATTAGTGATTCTTTCAGGACCATGGCTTGTCACATGAGTCTGAATTTCATATTTCCGTATGTGAAAAGAAGTATAAATATCTTCATAGACCAAACACTCACTAATGAGTATAACATCTCAGAATTGTAACTTTCCCATGGAATATAAGCAACTAATAAGTTTTTTCCCAAAGCGAGTTCACCACCAACTATAGCAGCACCATCTGCTAAAATTTGTCCCTTTTTTACGCATTTACCCTTCTAAACTTGGGATTTTTTATGCATGCAAGTATTTTTGTTGGAACGTTGATATATAATTAACGGAATACTTAGAGAATTCCCACTTCCAAATAAAATAATCTTCTCAGTATCATTATAAACGATCTTTCCCAACAATGCACTTTTCAGACCGAGAAAGAGGAACTGCTTGACGTTGCATATTAGATCTCATTAAAGCTCTATTCACATCATTATGCTCGAAAAAGGGAATGAGGGAAGCTCCAATATAAAAATATTAGAAGGGAAAAATACTTCGAAGATGAACTGGTTCCCATGCAATAGTCAGAAATTCTTGACGGTATCGAGCTGTAATAATATGCTCCTTCTGAATACCTTGATTCAGTGCTAAAAAATTTCCCATCTCTACCATATAGTATTCATCTATACCTTGTGATAAATAAAGCATTCATATTCTTTATCTCTCAGAAATTTCATAAAGTGGACTTTCTATAGACCCCCAACGACCAATCCTTGCATGAATTTCCAAGGATCCAATAAGTCCAACATTGATTCCTTCAGAGGTGTCAATTGGACAAATGCATTCATAGTGACTAGGGTGGATATTGTAGTGGTAGAAATGTTGAGACTAAGTCATTGAATTAACTTGACTCGCACAAATCAAAATAAAAATCGCCAATGTGCTTTATTGTTTCCAAAGGAAATGGGAAAAGAGTGAATAAACCCAAAAGAGAGAGGGAGAGAATCTAGGTACAGGGGTTGGTTATGCAAAGAGAATTTATTAGCACCCTAAACATCTACGGTACTCCAGAAGAACCTCTTTGAAAATTTATGTATTTTGGCTATAAATGTTGTATACAAAAATAGATGGTGGAGATGAGAAAAGAAATATTTTGTTTACAGTTTTTGCACCCACCGTGGTTACAAACCTTTAGTGCCTACGTACCACCTTCCATGCAATAGGGGATCAGGGTACTCGTAGTTCACCTCAAAAGTGTAAAACACATGTGTGTTGGTTAATTTTAAGAGAAGAGATATCATCGTCATATTCGAGTAGAAAACATACTTACTACCAACAATCATGAGAAAGGGGAAATTGTATCATCTGAAAGTGGAGGATATAGCTTGGAATTTAAAATCTACAAAGCCTCACTCAACACCCAAGTGGAAAATATCTCACTTCATTACATATCATTAAAGTATAGTAGCTCGCATAACTACGAGAATCGACAAGAGTCTAATCTTTTGAGAAAACAGTTTTAAAGTAAGAAGTCAAAGTGAAAAAAATGGTTTGAAGGAGGTTGATTGACTTTTAGTCTTCTCACAAAAAATTTCAAAGTATGATTAAGTTGGTTAAATTTTGGTTAAAAAAATATTTTTGAAAATGCATGGACCTAAGTCCAAGTTTATTATGAAAGGGATTCAAGTTAGAAAACAAGAAGAATTTTGAAAAGGAGGGATAATATTTTTGAAATTAAAGATGATGTGAGGAGATGAAGGGACTATCCTAAAGCATAAGGTAAAAGCTCAGGAAAATAAAGATCTAACCAATAAGAAGTCAACACTTGACATAAGAAGTCAATGTAGAATTATCATCCTTTGGATTGAAACCAAGCAAACAAAAATACTAAACCTCTGAGAAATACCAAGCTTCAGATGAATTAAGTCTTCAAAAAAATCGGGAAGAGTAACGACTGTATACAGAGGAATTCTCAATCACAGACAAAGCATATAATCAGAATAAGCTGCACACAAAGAAAATCAACCCAATGTCTTGGGGTAAACCCCAAGAATTCCAGGCAAAATAACAATGAAATCACAAGGTCCTAAGGATATCAAGGCTTCTAATCTTAAGTCCAAGAGGTCCATAACTCCATAATGCCAAGGACAGTAACCAAATAGTCCAAGTAACCTTAAGGCTTTTAATGTCCAAGTTGATTATTAGGTGTCTTAAAAAAATAAAAGCTCAAGTGAGCAATAATAAAGAAGACATAAAGATTAATGCTCAAGTGAACAAAGATAAAATGACATAAATATGAATGCTCAAGTGAGTAAAGATAAAAATGACATGGAATGTAAATGCTAAAATAAATGGTACATAAAAGTAAAGACATAAAATAAAAAGCATAAAGTAAAAACACAAAGTAAAGTCAATTATTAGTGAATTAGAAGTTAGAGGTTAGTTGAATGACCATCTTGAAACTTGCATTTGAAAACTCATTAGAAGATTAATAAAATTAAAGCTTCTCAACAACAAGTTTCATTTGCTTTTTGTCAAGTATATCATTCATTTCAAGTAATCAAGACAATCATAAATGATCAACGATGTTTAAATGATTCACTTAGGCCAAAGTTCATTAGAGGATTGATAAGATCAAAGCTTTCTAACAATGAATCTCAAGGTTATTGGATCAAAGTTTTCAAATTAAATATACTTGGGCTTGTAAATATAGGTTTGGGCCACGAATGATCATTTCTCAAATCGGGATAAATTTAGTGCTATGTTAAGCAATCGTAAGTGGACTTATGTAGAACTCACACCTATTTTGAGGTCGGTTAATAGAAATCTATGTACCACATGTTATAAAAATGATATGTAAATTATTCTCCAACAATATGTAGCACAAGTAAGAAAGGGATAAGATGAAAAAGGAAATGATGTATCAGATGAAGTTAGGGTTTCAAATATCATAAACATCATTCATCCATTTTGGTGGATTTGGTTTTTTAACCTATCAACTCCCAAGATCCAATAAGATTGAGGAATTTGTCCCAAAACGACACCTAAGTCAGGACCAATAAAAAATAATAAAATAATATTCAATAAAACAATATTTAAAATGATTAATAAATAGGAAATAATTGGTAAAATACACAAAGTATATTAAAACACCAAATAAAAATCCTAAAAAATAGTCAGAGGTCAAACATGAGTCAATAAGTGTTGACAAAAATTTTCGGAATTTTTTAAGGTCAGAAATTATTTTTAAAATTTAAAGAAATAAGCAAAAAAAATCAAAATTTTTGAAAAATAGTAAAATCAGAAATAATAATAAAATGAGATCACCAATATTTGTCAAGAGGTCATTGGATCCTTCCATAATTTATCCAGAATTTAAAAATCAAGAAAAAGTATTTTTAAACAATTAAAAAAATTCAAATAAGGTGAAAAATTATAAAAAAATACCAAATCATAGAATAAAATTGTGAAAAAATATGAATCAGAAAGAGAAAAATCAAAGGTTTTTTTGAGAATTTTTTTAGAATTTTTGAAGATGAAATGATTTTTTTAATGAATTTTTGAAGTTTAAAACAAATAAAATATAAAATCAGAAAATAAAAATAAAACCAAAAAGATGTAGATCATTGGATCAATGTAAAAATGCATTAGTAATCAAATCCAAGGATCTTGCACAATGTGCATGATATGGACATTAGTGAATAAACCACCTGATAGTTTATTTAAAACAAATTTTTGAAAAAATGTATGGCGCGGCATGATTGGCTGAAGGGAAGACATGTCATCGTCTTCAACCTCTAGCCACACATGAATTACAAGTTCCATAAACTGTAAAGTTAGAAGCTTAGACCGGTGCCATTCGCTTCGTCTCTTCAAGACGATTTCAATGGTACCCTCACGAAAAATTTATATAATTGTAGCTCAGTCAATTTGAAGAAAACCAAAAGAAAATAAGTTGGAAAGGGATTTAAAAATCCGTGAGTAAAATTCACTTCCATTTAAAAACTAACGATATGATCAGTATCCGAGTTATGAGAGCTACATTGTAGCAACAAGTTTGGAGAGAATTGATGGAGGAATCTACTTGTTGAAGT